GTGAAAGTTTTTTCCAGTAAGTCGCTAACTCAGGAGCCAGGAAAACTAGAAAGCTGAAATTTTAAGAGGGTGTTTCCTACCAGTTCTGGCAACCAATCCTTAATTAGTTTAGCTTGAAGCATTTGCCGAAAAACCGATTCCGATAGTGACAAAAATTGCGGCGAACTCTGCAAAAAACGCATTTTCGCACGGGCAGCCTGTGCGTTGGCCAATTTTTTTTTCGATTCAAAAAACAAGAACTTTTTTCCTAGATTACTTAAAAAATAAGCTGAAGATAATTTTGACATTCAGTTTCCTTCAGGCAAATCGGTTAATTTCAACATAAACGAAAGCGGAAGGATTTCTCCAAGAATTACATGAAAAAAAAAGCTGAAGGCGATTTGAGTACCTAGCATGTCCACGCATGTTGAGGCTAACTTTCCATCTAAATGAAAGATATGATTTTATTCAAAAATTTTTTAATTAATTTGAAAACGATCAGTGGGTTTGCTGTTAATTTGACTGTTGTGCAGAGAAAACGCTTACTGCTTGGTGCTTCATGAATTAATTTATGTTATTAATTACCAATAAGAACCATAAACCGTGGTTAAACCGTGGAAGCTAACTGGAGATATACAACCTCAGGATGAAATTGCATGGTGTAGCTGCTCCTGGCCTAGTAACATCATCAACATGCGATACCCATACTGACTGCGCGAAAGTGGTGTCTTGATATTCTTGCTGTAACTTGACTATGATCATTTTATATTAAAAATCAGTCATTTTTAAGTATTTTTTCTTGCAAAGTTGGTTTTCCTGCGTGCCTGGTCTTACGTCATGTAAAAACTGGGTGTTAGAAAAAAAAAAAATTTATTTTCATTTTTTCCCAAAAAGCTCTTTCCTTGCACTTTTTCTTCTCTCACGAAAGCTCTTTCTTGATATTTTTTTCTATTCATTCCCTTTTTTCCCTTTCATATGTTTCCTATGATTTTAGCACATACATTTCTTATAAATCTTGAAACCTCAACTATATATAAAGAGCTTTTGTGAGAAATAATCGAAATCCCAGTGCGATTTTTAGACAGATTAAGGAAACGAGTTAAGGGACCGAAACATTTTATTTCAGCTTATATTTGTTACGGTACTTTTTTATGCCTTTTCAAGTTAACATTGCCACTGCTATCTTTATATTTTCTCATGCATTTATATTAATTCTGGCAGTTATAACTGGAGTATAGGAAATAATATTCGAAACGGCTGTTGGTTTACCACCGAATCATACTCAAAGCGCTTTCCGATGGAGCAGCGGACAACCGTAGCAATTTTTTTTTCATTTCGTGATTATTTTGACTAGGGCCTGCATCGCTTGTTGATTACTGTTCTGGCGATTGTGACGTTCCTTTTTTTCCCTGAAAGGATTGCCGGCTTAGCCGCTCTCCAAATTTTGCCACTCCTGGATTATTTTGAAGACCAAGGACCATGTTGGAGTGCCTTGGGAGGAGTGACAAGTACGAGGCACCAAATTTCAAAAATTTTAAAAAATATTTTTGGATCCATTGCCAGAAAAAGACAGTTGATTTGCAAAAAGAAATTCTTTTTTTTTCCAAACAGTCTTTCGATATCCGTTTGTGCTTGCATGAAGCCTTGGCTTTTGGATGGAAAGATGGGGCTGGGCCTAGTCGTTTTTGCTGGAAATGCGTTGGGGAGGGACATATGCACGAAGCCTAGTGAGCAGGCGAAAGAAACGGTGAAGGTGGAGGGAATGGCTGTGTGGCCAAGACAGAGGCATAGCAGCAGCTGCTCCTGCCGCTACTGCAAGCTGGCTTCCGAGAATCCCAGTTGGCCAGGACAACGATGGGGCAGCGTCGGCGACGTTCGTCCCGATATGCACAAATGGAGGACGAGATAGGCACACACATACATACACACACAGAGGCCCATTACACTCCGGCCAGTTCCCTTTGCCTCAGAGTTTATTTTACTCCATTTCAGTCTCATTCGGTTTCATTTCTTACACGCATTTCGTTTCATTTCTATTTCATTTCATTTCATTTCATTCATGTTTGTTATTTTAGTATTTTTGTGGAATAAACATTTATTTTTTACAAATGTTTGTTCTTTATGTCTTAGGAAGGTACCGCAACGGGGTCCAGGACACTAATTCGAGATGATGCTCAAAATGTACCAGAAACATTCTGGAACGGTTAAAGCCTTGCTAAACTGATTCTGTTCGGCAAACCGTTGAGTTGACAATCACTTTGAGGGATGAAACGGGCTCAGGTACATAGCTGTAGAACCGCGCTATGAGTTACAGTTGACCAAATAAGTAACTGGGGTTCGAAATAATGAAACCAAGTGCCGATGGACGTACTAGATAGAAGAAAAAACGAATTTCAGGGCTGTAAGCAAGAGTATCGAGAATTCAGTAAGTGTTTCATCCCTTAACTGTAAACCCATGCTGGATCTGCGCGGTAGGAGCAGAAGTCATCAGTACAGCCTCCTATCCGTCGTGTTTAAAATGAGCGTATTTCCGAATTCTCAGGACTGGAATAAGCTTTAACCGAGGAAAGGATGGTAATATAAAATGAAGATGATCATTGTGGATGTTTATTGAAATGAAAACTCATTCAAACCAGATAATTTATTTGCAGATAAATAAGGCTTCTTCGCATAGGCGTGTGCACGTGGAAATTCGCTCCAGTACTGCTATCTGTTAAGATCCGACCGCTGCTGACCATCGAACTCTGGGGCCACGAAAGAACTCAAAAAACTACCAGTGCCACCCCGAAATATTGTAAATCAGGACGGAATTTGCTCCCTAAGCCTGGGCTTCTTCTGCACTTAAGAACCGCAAGAAATGGCCGCAGCACCATCGCGTGGACGAACTAGACCGATGGATCGCTCCACCACTTCGAGTGGTGGCGAGAAGAAGACATTTGTATTTGGTTCGTCCACTCCACGTGATCTCTCCTACATGGACAGTGTACCGGCGACTCTACGAGCCTACGACAGTAAAGTAAAACCAGCGCCACGGGCCAAGAATGAAACACTGGCGCACTACATGCGACAGGCTCGATCGGTCACAAGAAATCAGTCAGGTCTGTGAGTTCGTTTTATTTTTGCACAGTACGAGAGCGGCAGTTAATCTCTAGATTCTTATATTCGTTGCATAATAATAATGATAATGACAGTGGTAATAATAATAATAATAATAATAATAATAATAATAATAATAATAATAATAATAATAATAATAA